GAGTCGTTTTTCAAAAGTGCGGCAGTTTATTTCCACAGAAAAACAATTTTGTGATAGTCTCTTGCACTGTTATCAATATCCGGTTGAGTTAAAATTGATATCTTCAAGCAAATCGGAGTAATTGGTCTAGCAAAATCCAAAAAAATCATTAGTCAGAAATATTTCCCGCCAAATATTTAGCGAAGAATATCACCTTATTCCGACTTTCTGCGATTTTTATCCATGATTTACTACAAGATCTGCAAAAAATAGTTAGCTGGACTGCAGAAGAGAATTTTTAAGCTGTGACATCGTTGTTAACCTAAGCAAACATTTCAAACTCGCCAAATCCTTACCACTGCCTGGGCTAAATTTTCCCGCGAAAATTCTATTTTTGACGTCACGCTGCATGGAAAAACAAAGTGGATCTTCAGTTCGATGGTCTTTTTCGCTGTTGTGTAGAACAAACTGCAAGTTAATAGTGAGCGAACCTTTACCCTAAATTTAATTTTGGAACTCAGCAAACCCCTTGTTTACATCTATTTCTCGTTTTCGAAAGGCGTGACGCGTTACAGATTCAAAGGTTAGACGACTGGACTTCGAAATGTCAATCTTACTTAAAGGTTTCTCCTTACTTTTGAAAACATTAACTGTTCTTTCGTATCAGAAAAATCGCCTGGCTTTGTGGGTGGCGGGTCAGTTTTTCTTCAATTATTAGCGTGCAAACAAGGGGGTCGAGGAAAGGCGTCAGATGTGGTATCTATTTGGCGCAGCCAAATGTAAACAATGAGGAAATACAGGTTACGACAAAACTTCGCTGCAATCCGGCCTACGAAATGATCATAAAGGACAGGCGACTGGAATAAACATCTCAATTCGTGTAATCGTTGCTAGGTCAGGATTCCCAGCGGAAATCTTCCTTGCCTTCATTTTTGTCGTTTGTATTGTCGCAGGTTTGTACGCCGTCTTGTTTTCCGCTTCATTTCCTTTCTCTATTACCTCGTACACGCAATTGGCGCAGCAGGTTACTAGCACACCGTGTTGTTTTCCGCTCTGAAACGTTTACTTTCAAGAAAAGTAATTTAATGTTGCTCTTGTCAATATCACCACAAAACCTCAATGCAACGAAATTACATCCAAATT